TATAGTTCCCACATATATTTTTATCCTATTTCAAATTAATTTCGCACCAAATGGGCAATACAAGTCCGAATTTAAAAGATACAAATGCTTTGGCATATTTAGTCCTTTGAATTTTAAATTATAATTATAATCATAGCGCGTATGATTGAATTCTCCCATAAAAACTTTTAATTATTAAGTGGAGCTCAACTAAATTAGCAAAGTGGTGTAGGGTATCATAAAATCGGCCCCGCCCGACTTTAGGACTTTCTTTACTGGTTTTGTCATAGGATGTAGTATTCATTTAAATTTTCAAATACCAAATCTAAAAGAATTCCGTTGAATAATATCGCTAAAATTAACAAAGAACCGAATATCCAGTACAATTTTCTGACTTAGGCTGTAGCATCGATTTCGAACTTCAAATACCACATTTAAAACAATTCCGGTGAATATTCTCGCAAAAAACATCAAAGTACCGAATATCGGGAGGCACCGTTATATGGGGGCTATATATGGCTCAAATACCGAATGTACCTGTTACATTAGGGTCTATACGACGACATAGGTAACTTTTGTCATAGGCCATTACAATATTCAAATGCGAAACTTAACAAAAAAAAAGTTAAAACGCAGTAAGTTCGGCCGGGCCGAACTTTGAATATCCTCCACCATTTGGAAAAAATAAAATCCTTAAAAAATTCTGTTAACATTTTAAAAATCCCGAATATAGTCGTTATATTGGGGTCCATACGACGTGGACCTACAAAGGCATTGTTTGTCATAAGCCATTACCAATTCCAAATTCGAAACTTGAAATAAACGGTGAATAGTGTAGCTAAAATCATCAAAATATCGTATATAGGGAGGTTCCGTTATATCGGAGCTGTGCGAAGACCTGGACCAGCATAGACAATTTTCTGTCACATGCTGTAACATCTATTACGAACTTTTAATACGACATCTCAAGCAATTTCGGTGGGTATTGTACCTAAAATCATCAAAGTACCGAATGTAAGGAGATACTGATGTATGGTGCCTATACAAAAACCTGGACCTGCATAGACTAATTCCAATTCCGAACTCTATACACGTAATTTGAAAATATTCTGGTGAAGAATGACGCTAAAATCATCAAAATACCGAATATCGGAAGGTACCGTAAAAAAACTTTAGCTCTCTATATCAATTCGTTCGAGAGAAGCGTGATTACAACAGACAGACTTTTTCGCTGATCAAGAATATATATATATATATATATATATATATATATATATATATATATATATATATATATATATATATATATATATATATATATATATATCTTTGTTGGGTCTGACATGAGTATTTCGAGGAGTTACAAAGGGAATGACAAAGTAAATATATTCTCCGGGAGGTACCGGCCATACGAAGGCGTGGACCTGCACAGACAATTTTCTGTCATAGGCTGTAGTATCCACTACGAACATAAAATACGAAATTTGAAGGAATTCCAATGAATAATGTCGCTAAAATCATCAAAATACCGAATATCGGGGTGTGCCGTTATATGGAAGCTATACGAAGACGTGGACCTGCACAGACAATTTTTTTATAGGTTGTAGTATTCATTTCAGTTTGCAAATATCAAATTTAAAAGAATTCCGTTGAATAATGTCGCTTCTTTTCGTACGGAAGTTAGAGTGATGTCCACAGACAGATACACGGCGTTATTTGCTTTAGTCGAATACAATTACGAAATTTCAAACACACAAGGATAAACCGATAAAATATCATTTGTAGTTTAGATCCAACAAAGTATATATGTATATATACTCTGTGGGTTCTATACTGTTTATTTCGATGTGTTACAAATGGAATAACAAACTTAAAGCTCCCCATAGAAGGATTTAAAAAGTAAAGAAGCGATGTTACCAGTTTTCTGGTACAAGATACCAAAAAGGGCTATACTAAATGTGAATCTACACAGGCAATGATCTGCCACAGGAGGTGGGATCCGTTAAAATCTTCAGAAAATGTGGTATAAGAAGTCAAAATACCAGAAAAGTTCCGTTATATCAGGGCTACAGGAAAAATTCTATGAACCGAAATATAAACAATTCCGTTTAAAAATTTGGTTTAAATTCCAAAAATACCGAATACTGAATAATGATAGGTATGGTTGCTATAATAGTACGTGGAGCAATAGATTGCTAAAACAGGTAGAATCCATTACAAACTCTAAGTACCGGATTACAAACTCTGAACCGATATGGCCCATTTACGAACTTAAGCTGCCTATCTCACGAAATACACATGTGTGTGACTAACATTTTGTCTTATATCTTAATTCGTTTGAAAGATATCGTAACAGACCGACATCGTTTTATCGAGTTAGAATTTTGCGCTTATCAAGAATATGTACAATTTATTGCGCCTAACTGGGGATTTCGATGAGTGTACAAAAAAAGAAAGTTTACGTGTTTCAAAATAAAATCTTACACCAAAAATTTCCGTTAAATTAAAATAATTCTAAATCAGTGTAAAAAATTGTTTCCAAACAAAATAAAGTTTTTATTGTTCCCTGTTTTGGTACTTGGTGAAATGTTAACAACATATATGCAACAGTTGGGTCAGTCAAAAAAAAAAAAAAATAAATTACTTGAATTTAGCCTTTTATGAAATTCATTGTCTTTCACAATTCTAGAGTTTACTTGTTTAAACTCATAGTTCCATTTTCCTGATATAAAAAAAAAAATGTTATAACAAGTTTTTGTAGAGAAATTGACAGTAACTAACCAAATAACTATAAAAATCTAAACAAGTTAAAAAGCAGTAAGTTCGGCTAGTACTAACGTCAAATACGATATCTGAAACCATTTCGGTGAGTATTGTACCTAAACACGTCAAAATACCGAATATAGGGAGACCTGGACCTACATAGACATTTTTCTGTCACAAACTGTAGTTCCCATTACGAACTCTAAATACGACATTTCAAACAATTCCGGTGAATAATGGCTAAAATTATCAAAATACCGAATATAGGGAGGTACCGTTATATGGGGGCTATACGAAGACGTGGACCTGCCCAGATAATTTTCTGTCATAGGCTGTAGTATCCATTTCGAACTTCAAATACCAAAGTTGCAACAATTCAGGTCAATAATGTCGCTAAAATCATCAAAATACCAAATATCGGGAGGTACTGTAATATGGGTGCTACAGGAAAACGTGGACCTACATGGCCCATTTACGAACTTAACCTGGCTATTGGAAAAATAAATACGTGTGCAAAATTTTAGCTTTCTATCTCAATTCGTTCGAAAGATAGCGTGATTACAACAGACAGACGGACAGACAGATAGACAGACAGACGGACGGATATGGCTAAATCGACTTAGAATTTTACGGTGATCAAGAATATATATACTTTGTTGGGTCTGACATGAGAATTTCGAGAATTTACAAACGGAATGACAAAGTTAATATACCCTCCATAGTATGGTGGAAGGTATAAGAATGAGATCGAAATATTGAAAAAAGTTGGATGTTAGATGCCCACCGGGCAAACAAACAGGGTATAATTTAAGTTACCTGGTATAGCTGCTTGTATTGCTGTGTGGTTTCGTTGTTGCAATTTAAGTTGCCACTGGACTGCCTGTGTGCTGCAAAAAATACAATAATTATGCACCTGTCATCCAAACGAATAGAAACATTAATTTCAGCCGGACCGAACTGTTAATACCCTCCATTATTGGTTAAAGAAAGCATTTTTATATAAATGTATCAGAATTCAAAGTTGTTCCACTTTAAACTGCAAATACCAATAAGACCGCCTGGATAATGCTGTTACACTTTTCAAAACCATAAAGTGGGTTAGGCCGTTATGTGCGGGCCATATCAAAACGGGAAAATCTATAGACAATTTTATATTTCAAGGATGTCATCTACCAAATCTTGTTAAATACCAAATTTGATACATCTCGTTTCAGTACCAAATATCCTAGACACAATACAAATTGTTCTGCCAAATTTTGAAGCTCTACGACAAATAATGTGGGCTGTATCGTGATTTCAAACGACAGACGACGAAAGTTAATATAACCTCCATTTCAAGGAGGAAGGTAAATAAAATAATTACATAAACAATTCTCATACTTACAATGAATTAAACATTTTGTTCATTGTTAAATTGAATGTATGTATTTTCAATACGTTACCTATATACCCAATGGTAACTTAAGTGGCCAGTATAAGACTCTCTTTTGTTCTGAAAGTTGCTAAACAAAGTATGATTCTTGAACAGAGACGAATACGTGTACAAAAGTTCTTCATTCAATAAATATCTGTGGATTAGCGGGTTAAGTAACTCGAAGAACTATGTGTTACTAACTCTAACTAACTCGACAGGGTTCTTCCAAAGATTTTCATATGTTACCTATGTACCCAATGGTAACTTACGTGGCCGGTATAAGACTCAAGAGTTGCTAAACAAAGTGTGATTCATTAACAGAGACGAATGCGTGTACAAAGTTCATCATTCAATAAAAATCTGGGCATTAGCGGGTTAAGTAACTCGAAGAACTATGTGTTAGGTCCACAATATAGAAGCTCGGCAGGGTTCTTCCAAAGGCGGAAGTACCTACAATACATATGCTAATGCCCAGATATTTATTGAAGGCCGCCAAAGACGATAGTTTTAGTAAAGGTGTGCACAAGTACTGCGTATTTCTTGATGGTAAAGAATATTACCTATGCATAAAGTTTGGCGGCTTGTCGAAACTAAAATATTTCCATTAAAATCTCCTACTACATGCAAGGAGACCTAGTTAAATATCAAATCTTACTTTAACAAAAAGAATTTAAATAAATCCTGCTTGTGGGTCCACTGTCTATCTTAAATCAACCCCTCGGAAGTTTTTGCCCATTGTGTTATTTACATTTAGTTTTTAAGCACAATTATCAATCAAATATATAATTTTGGAAGTGCTAAACAAAGTACTAGTAAGAAATGTAAAACACAAACTTTTTTATAGAACTATTTTGGTGATGCTTGGAACACTTTCGATTTTATCATTGTATTGGGAAGTTTTATTGACATAGTTTATAGCGAAATTAAAACAAAAGAACAGGCGCTAGCAACATGCGATGGACAGTCATGCAACAAAGCAAAGGTAAGATACTATTTCGTTATGAAATATTATTAATATGCCATTTTGTGTAGGGAGGATCCACCTTAATTTCCATTAATTTCTTTCGACTTTTTCGAGTTATGCGTTTGGTTAAATTGTTGAGTAAAGGCGAAGGCATCCGTACGTTACTATGGACATTTATAAAATCATTTCAAGCGCTTCCATATGTAGCACTTTTAATAGTAATGCTATTTTTTATCTACGCTGTTATTGGAATGCAGGTTTGTATGTCGACAAAATATACATATACACACATAGTACATTAATCTTAAAAAGTATAAAAAACACAACTCTCATATCTAAATAACATTTGTTCACATTGCATCTAATATAGTAAATAAAAAAATTATAAAAAGGGTCGATCGGGGATTTGTATAACTTGGAATTATACATGTAAACAGCTATCTGCTACAGTTCACATATTTGCATATTTTTGAGACAAAAGATCACAGGGAGGTAGACCCTCCAAAGTTCATTTTAGGTGCTCGTTATTAGGAGAACGACATCTGCTAAATAAGAATCAGCAAGAATATATGTAGGTCCTACATACAATTTTCATCCGACTTGACATTTAAACCCCTCAGAGCCGTAGTGTACTATGTTTTTTGGTACGATATACCCGATATAGCTTAAAGATACTTTTGGCAAATTTGGTCGGAATGTGTTTAGATTTAGATCTCATATATATTTCCATCAAATTTTGTGTAAATTATTTGAATAAACCTTCTCAGCCATAATACACTTTGCGCAGCAATGATATCTGCACAAAAATACCTCCGTTAAAAATAGTAGAAATCGATTCAAACAAAGATATATTCATTTTTATTTTTGAAGTGATTAACTTCAAGTATGTACCGGGGTGTAGTATATCTTATTGTCGACCATCCCGAAATATTACTGAAATGCAATTTATTTTATTTAATTTTGAAGAAAAATGTTAAAAATGTCTGAAATTTTAAGTTGAGGGAAATCTGAAAATGTATTTTTTAAAGGTGAAATTGGCACATAATGTTTTTTTTTAATATGAACACATTGTAAATATGCCACGATACTGAATACTCTACTTTAAAAGATATACGGACGAAAACAAAAAGTAAATTAGAAGACGTCACAGATTCACACTATAGAACATTTACAACGTTTAGCAATATTTTTATTTATAATTACCACAATTAACATTCGCAAGTGTTATCTTTTTCTTTATTTTAATATAATAGAAATAGTTTTTTTTTCGACGCCAAAACCAGATTATATTTTTTAGTTTCGAGTTTCTAAAAGTGTTGTGAACATAAAACCATTACTTTTTTATTCCAGCGACTAACTTCTGGTGATATTCTTCATTTTAATAACTTATGTACACTTTGTAGGGTCTGTTCAATGATTGAACAATATCACACCTTAACTAATCAAGTTTTCTCAGTAAAATGTCTCATATTCAGTTGTTATGCAAACTTGACCTATTTATTGTCTACTTCCCTTGCTAAATTTGAATGATTCTTTATATGTGTTATGACTTCTTACTTAATACCAATAAGGCGCACACAACTGTATTTGTCTTGCAAATTCTGTTACTGCCCTTCATCAACAAAGGGTAGAGAATAAGTAAGTAAGTGAGTAATAAGTGTCTATGGTTAATTAAAGCAAAACGTTCCGTTTATAAAAATAACAAAAAAACTAAACAGATAAGAACAAATTAATATTTAATGTAATCAGCGAAAAGTCGAAAATAAAGAACGATAAATATAAAAGTTATCATTAAATACATAAACTGTGAACATGAGAACCTTTTCGTTGTTAGTTAAATACACTCAGTGAAACCTCTAAATTAAATACACTAATGAACTATTGATTGAATTTCATTAAATTAGAATTGTATAATCTAATAAAATATACAATCTAAAATGTGATTCTGAGATTAAGAAAAATCAATCTACATTGAAACTGTATTTAAAGGTGAACTTTTGCTTGCATTACTTTAAATTAATCCGATTCTGAAAGTAACAAAAATAAATTTAAATTGAAACTGTCTGCTATTTGCTAAAAATTACAACACAAAATGTAGAGAAGGAACTTTCCTCCTCTCTTTAGACTACTGTTCTTTGTAAACCTACAAAACGACGATGCTTATGGTTATATTTTCAAATTAAAAGTTTGGGCAAAACTGACAACAACGATAATTACGTGGTAGTCATCAACAAATTCGAGTAAAACTCGAATAACCGATTTTCTAGGGTTTTCAAAAAGTCGATAGTAATTTTTTGTAAATTTGCAAAAACCGCTAATTGAAAAATCAAGTTTTCACTTTTAAGTGCCCCGTAAACGATCAAAATGCATGACATCACAATAATTTACGTGTGTATGAAGCTTTCACATACGGTTCACTTTTGGCGATTTTGGGCGTTAGCTTAAAGAAAATGAAAACAGTAAGAGAAATAAAATAATCTGAATGAAAGAATCTGAAAAAAGAAATCAATTGACTCATAAAAAATTTATTAATTGAATTAAGAGGTCATTGGCAAAATTTTTTTTTTTAAGAATGGATAGTTCCACTTGCGAGGTATAACTAATGTGACCATTTATATTTTTCGTCAGAGCGGGACGCCTGCGGAATTTTGTAAAAAAAAAAAAAAATTATGCATTTAAAAACAAATTTTATTCAAAAATGGAGAGAATACGTATAAATCTAATTCATGAAATTAATTTTATGTCTAAGTATTTGTTTTATATTTGTCAGCAGAGCAAATTAGTTTTAAAATATCGGGTCTAGTTGGAGCTGATTACATTGTTTGTTGATGTTAGTCTTAGTAATTAAAATAGCTTTTAAAATTGCCACACTTAACTGCGTTTTTTCACTTGTCCATATTTTATTCATTAGGGAAAAAAGTCTTTCGACAGGTGCGTTACTTCCAGGCATACATAAAACATACTCAATAATTGTGCGAAAGTTTGTGCAGTTGAGATTATTAGCACGGAAGTGTTTAAACAGCTCCACCCAAAGGTCTTCAGTAGCAACATTCTCATCGTTCCAGCTTTTGATTTTTTCAACTGTGACGTAACTGGAAATAAGCGAAAACTCATCGAACACCTCCGTATCTTGGCTACTGTTAAGAAATCTTTGTGTGATCAGCAAATCCGTCACATTCTGTACGTCTTCCCAAGTAGGGACTTTTCTCAAATTTGACCATTCAAATACTGCTAGTTGTGCATTGAACTGGCACCACTGTTCCAAGTATTCTTTACTTGTCTTATAAAAATCCGCTGCCGCAGTTTTCACATTCTGCTCATCAACAGCAACGTCAGTTTTTTGTAATTTTACCAGTAGATTGCGGACAGAATGAGGAAGGAAAATCGAATTCTCTTTAAGTTCTAAGTTATCTCGGAGACGATTAATTTCATTCGCAGACTCTATTGCGGACACGTTTTGTCCCTCGATTTTCAACACGGCTTGATGAAAAATCGCTGTCTGTGCGTGCAAAAAATATAACCACAATTCAGAGCTGGGATTTCAAGCGCCGGCATTAAAGCAAGCCACCTTGTTTTACTGTAGCCCAACAGTTTCTGATACTCTGTGTCGGTGGAATCACAGAACTCTTTCAGAACTTCTACCCGAATGCTGTAGATGTAGAAGAATGAATAAATTTTCACAATGATGCATTCGAAGTCAACAGGGAGACAATCTGCGGCTGTTTTGATAGCATTATGAATTATATGGGCTCCACATCCAATCCTAATGAGCTGCCTTCCAACGGATAGGTTCAATTTCGCGTAAACATTATTTATTCCTTTTCTATTCTTTCCTCCGAAATTGCAGTTTGTATTGTCTGCACAAAATGCCACAATTTTCTTATTCAAATCATTGCAAGATAATACTTCTTTCAAATAATCCACAAATCACATCTAAATTTTTGCTCAAAACATGTTTGTATTAGATTTGAAGCACAGTCATTCGAACGAAAACTGTGGCTTTCTTGCACTGTGTGGTACGCCCACGCACCCTCCGCTGCAGCTATATCCAAGTCTTTGGAAGTCGCCAAATTTGTTATTTAAAAAAAAGAAAGCATTGACGAGCTTGAAGCGGCAGCTTGATAAGAAAGCTTGTGTTTTTCCGATTTTAAATGCTTCTCAATATCACTGGCACCACCATGTCCAACACTAAAATCAGTACGACATTTTTCACACGTAACGTCTAATTCACCACTTCTTTGTTTTATAAATGGATACTTATTTTGCAAAGAAATGTTAAAAGTACACTTGCGTTTAGGCATTATTGTAATGTTACAATCACTAACATTGAAAATAAATTGTTTGACTTTGCTCGCCACGGGGAAAAAATAACTCATGTATTTTTCATCAATATCAATATCCAGTATTTTCGAAAGCGGGACATTTTTGCTCTCGCTGGGGACAGCGGGACAGATAACCTCAAAGCGGGACTGTCCTGCCCAAAGCGGGACGTATGGTCACGTTAGGTATAACCAAGCCTGGTTTTGTCTCTAATTAATTTTTCGGCATCAATACTTCATAATGATTTTCTTTAATAACACGGTTGCTTTACTTTTCACATTTAACATTCCAAAGTGCTGGCAACAACCGGTTAACTTCCAACAACTCAAAAACATTTTTTTCTCAGTATCCCACATCTGTATGCACCCATTCGTTTTGAAAAAAGTCGTAAATGAGAATACGCATGATCACTGAACTGTACACACGTAAAAATCGATCGTCATGCACGAGAAAACCAAAAATTTTTGATTTTGCTTTATGCATCGTATGTGTGCCGCATACATACAAATTTTCACTAACACCACATAATTGCATCCTATGCATTTTGATCGTTTACGGTGCACTTTATATCTCACTTTGAAAATCGATAAATACTTTCCTCCTTACCTCAATTACTCTTCGTTATGAGACTTTGCGGTCAAAGAAGACATTTCTTGAGCAGATTTGTACAAGTCAACAACTACAAGAAGTGTATCTGGAAATGATTAATATATTGGACATTTAAGGAGCAGTAAACCAGCTTCACAGAGCGAGCATATTTAGACTGAGTTGTGTTTTGCAGAAATATACAAACAATCCCCTTGAATCTAGTGCTTATCAAAATCTGAAATGAAATGAAACCCTAACTCAACGAATAAGTTATTATTACGGACGACCGCGGACCTCAGAACGAATGTAAGTTAGGTCAAATCATAAAATTATGTTTAGGATCTGATAA